AGGTAGGTTGGCACAATTCAGCAAAGTTGAGAATGAGACATCAAAATATATCTTTGTATTTTCAGAATAATTCAGACTTTAGCAAATAGGTCTTTCTTTCTACAGAAAGCTTAATATGAAGACTAGATAAATCTGTCTTATGGCAAAAATACATAAGACGGGGGATGCGGCTCACTGATACAGCACTTGCCTAGCATACGCAATGCCCTCAGCTCAGTCTTAAACACTACCTCCTATCCCTCCTCCCTTGACTCTAGTACATCCAGGAAGCAGAGACAGGAGGAACACAATTATAAACCGGCCTGGGCAAAAGTTAACAAGACTCTATCTCAAAAATAAGCCAAGGCATAGTGGTTAATATTTTCGATCATAGATACTTGAAAACATGGAGGCTCTCCAATGGAGGCCAGCACAGGCAAAATTAACACAAAATTCTACATGAAAAGCATACTAAAACAAAAGGACTGAGGTGGTAGCTCAAGTGGTAACAAAACAAAACACACATTCAAAAATATAATCAGCATTTGGATTGTTTTTGTTATAATGCTTCAAATGAAGGAATGGGGGACAGTGCTTGGGATTTCTTGCTTTAGGGCATGTATGTATGCTGGGAGAGATAGGAAAATTGGAAAAGGAATCAACATGGACTCGTTACCCTGAGGAGGGTCTAGGAAAGTTTAATTGCATCTATACAGTTCAGTGTGGCAGCTACTGGCTGGGCCCAATTGAAATATGTGGTAAAAGTAAAAACCATACTGATTGGTAAAGACTCAGGTATGAAAAAATAAAGAATATGAGAACATCTCATCCATCATTTTTAAAAATCTCAATTCCATATTGAACTTATATATGAAATTTGGTTACGAGTATATTGAATCAACAGACATTATGGAAATTGATTCCACCTACTTCCTTTTACTTTTTGAATGTGACTACTCAAAAATGTTAATTAGACATATGACTTACATTATATGTGTTCAGTGGATAGAGCTGGCTATGTACATGAGTCATAGTAAATGTGTGCTTTCTTGCTTGTTTTTCTGTATTTTTCAAACTGAAACACACACACAAACACACACACACACACACACACACACACACACACACACACACACACACACCACACACAGTTTGGATCCTGAAAATCATGTGTCTTGCCCTGGCACTTGGGTAAGTAATCTCTTCTGAGTTTCCCTTTTCTCATTTGTTAAATGACAATTGTTTTGACCTCTCAGGCCAGAGCTCACTATGTTGTTGTCAAGAGAAATTCATGGGAAAAAAGTAGAATTCTTAACATAAAAATGACACTGAAGAACATCACATAATCCATCACTATTCTTGATTATATTTCAAGACCTGTGAGATGTGGACATTTTAAATTCTCCTCCATTTCTAATTCAGATGCTTGTGATCCTCTTCCTTTCCCTTCCGGCAAATCTCAACAATCCCTTCTTTTCCTTATTCTAGGGACTTTCATGGGAAGTTCAGTGGGAAGCCAGTGATCCGGTTCCTCACTTACTTCCTACTACTTTTTCTGATCACTCACCTCACACTTACTCACTCATTTCAATTTCAGAGCAAGGATTTTATCCTGGCTGAAACCACAAACCAAATTACAGCTTTTATCTGCCCTGTCTCTTGTCTCCTACCTGAATTTTGGGTCATACTTTTTACTGAACTCTGCTTCTTTTGATGGGTTGATCACTCAAAGACAATTGAGGCCAAGCAAGTACGTGTGGGAAGCGAAGAAAGGAAATAAGGATTGTGTAAGCAAGAGATCAAGAGAAAGAACAAAACACAGGGAAAAAGAAATGTAATTTCTGAACTTCTCTTTCCTGGCTGTAGAACCTGCCTCCTTTATCAGTGTCTTTCTTCGCCTATTGTCTTTAAAAGCTGAGTTGTTTTTAGTCCATGCTAGGTACAAGCTGCTTCCTGATCATTTTTCTTAGTTTCTGCTGTCCTAAGCTCTTACAGCATAACCCTTACCTAAAACTCATGTAAGATTTCCCATGTCTGAGAACGATACCCTTAGATGAAGAGGGTTGTAGCTGTTTTGTGAAATGTGATGGCAGAGAAGAGGGGAAGAAAATGTAAGACTGTGAAGCATGCCATTTCCCCAGGTCTGGGAGGATTCTGGGTTCCTGCAGGATTCATGTAATGAACCACTCATTCAAAGCTGTATGAGATGAAAACAGCAAGCAGAAACTTCAGAAGGAATTTTTGACAGCACGGGTGGCTGGGTGCACCTGGGCTCCTCACTGAAGTGGGAAAAAAAAGCAAACACACCCAATTTCCTATGCAAGTATTTTTTAATCAGAAAAAGTGTTGATTCTGTGTTGTCGTGTTTCCACGCCGCCTCAGTAATGAGGTGATTCAGAGTTTGCTCCTGACTTAAGATAGTAGGTTTTTTGTTGTTGTTGTTGTTATTTTTGCATCTTCATCAGATCAATATGTTACTTTGCCTATTTTATTTTTAGATTTACTGACTGTTCTCAGGGTAGCAAATTCAAAAGAAAGAAATAAGCAAATTGGTTTGTATTTCAAAGCCTAGGCTGAGGTTTGACAGGCAGAACCCTTAGAGATGAGCAAAGAAGCAGAGTTTCCCAGAGGCTGCTTGCTGACAGGCTTCATGGAGGGGTGGTCCTTGGGGGAAAGGAATATTTTCAATGCCACAATACAGACCAGAGTTCCCTCCCCCACCAAGCAAGATATGTTCACGCAAGTGTGTGTAGGATTGGCAAGCCCAGATGCATGAATGTGGCTGTTTTTCCCTACAGCTTTTAGTAAAGAAATATTTGCCATTGAGTTTTAGTAAGAAGCAGCCATGGCTAGCCATCTACTCCCTGTGGTCTCCTAGAAAAACCAGAAAGCCTGAAAATATGAATGGATTTTTTCTTATTATATTATGACTCAAATTTGGAAAGCAAAAACCCTTTCCTGAAAATGCTAATGCAGCTGCAACTTTAAGATACCATCTCTCTACATTGAGAAGTTACATTCTGAGGTCTCAACTGCTCAAGGAAAGAATAAGCAGACGTTATGTCGAAAAATGAACTTTACAACTTTGGCAGGGTGGGGCAGATGGGAGGGCAGGGATGGGAAGGGGAAACAAAGGAGGAGGCAACAATGCTTGATAAGAAATGTACACATTACCTTGCTCATGTAATTGTAACCCCTCTGATGGTATTTTCACATAAAAACTTATTAATAATAAAAAAAAGAATAAGCAAATGTCCTGAAGATTTTCTGATCTTCCTTCTTTGTTCTTTTTCTTTCTGTTACCTTAGATCAAGTCTCATAATAATTGTAATTTCAGTTGTCTATGTTCTGTACACTGTCTTTGTCAGAGCTGCAGAAATTATGGAGATTATGCGAAGTCAGAATACAAGAATGTTGGCATGCCAACCAATGCACATTACAGCCAACATTTGGGACCACTGTGTGGTATCACTTCTCTAAAGACTGGTTATTTCTGGGTTGCCAACAGTACTGTTCGGGGCTGCAAAGGCTGAACTGGAGATAGGTTATGTATTTCCTGATGTTTTGAGATCACTTATTTTCCCATATGAAGGTGGAAGAGATGATGCTTTTTTAAAAGAGTTTGAAAAGTGGCAGAGGTGGTGTTGCAGATGTGGGCATTACCATTGTAGGTATGCATACCCGGCACAAAGACCAAAGAGCATTCTCAGTGACAGGCTATCCCTGATCTGATTACCTTGAAATTGCATGTAAAATTAGCGTTATTAAATATGCTTCCTTGTTACCAAAGGGAGACTATTTCCATTTGACTTTAAAGTATCACTCTCAGGTTCTTCTTTGTGCAGACCTTCTTTAAACTACAAACCCCATTTCATCGAGTATGGCTGTACTGAAAGTCTACATCTATTGCTTTACAACAAAACGACAAAAACCAAATTTATGGAAATGGAAAATGTTTTCGGGAGAGACAAGCAACAATGAAAACATTTTCAAAATTAACAGGCATCCACAGGTATAAACACACAGTCTGAAGCATTTAATGGTCTTTAACACGGCCAACTCCCCTGAGCCCAAAGCAGCGTTAAATTCTCTTTTGCTGGTGGCAAAAGAAGCTGTCAAGCGCAACATTGAAAAATTGGTAGTTTCCTGGCCAGTAAGCACAAAACCAAGGGGCGCTAAATATTTTATGATTATTTATTTATTTTCTGTTCTTATGCCATTTCCCCTTTTCCCTCTCTCCCTTTCTCTCTCCCGCCCAGGGCTAATTGTTGTGACATTGGCAGTATGCTGGATGCCAAACCAAATCCGGAGGATCATGGCTGCAGCCAAACCCAAGCACGACTGGACCAGGTCCTACTTCCGGGCATACATGATTCTCCTCCCTTTCTCAGACACCTTCTTCTACCTCAGCTCGGTGGTCAACCCGCTCCTGTACAACGTGTCCTCGCAGCAGTTCCGCAGGGTGTTCGGACAGGTGTTACGTTGCCACCTGACACTACAGCATGCCAACCAGGAGAAGCGCCTGCGGAGTGCCCGCTCGGCCCGCAGCCCTCTCCTCTTCTTGAGCTCCCGGCGGAATTCCTCTGCAAGGAGAACTAACAAGGTTTTCTTAAGCACTTTTCAGACTGAGGCCAAACCCCAGCCTCAGCCCCAGCAATTGAGTCTTGAGTCACCCCAGCCCAGCTCTGAGGCAAAATCAATTAATCTGGCTGCAGAGAACGGTGTGCAGGAGGAACATGAAGTATGAGCCCTCATGTGCGGAGTCTCGGGTACCAATGAACGAGCCTCGCTCTCCCCTGAGAGAGACAATCTTACCTTCCCATCACAGACACAAGACATACTCCTCTCCCGTCGGGGACAGATTGGAAGCTGGGGTTGGGAGGGCTTTGGAAAGGGCAGGTGCCCATCTCAGTGACTTCTAAAGAATTGATTTATCAACTTGCCTGGCTTTGACTCTGGACAGGGCCACAGCACCCTTCCTTCAGACACACACTGAAAATTCAGACTGAAGTCACGCTCTTGTATTATTCTTAAAGGAATAACAACAACAACAACAAAACCAAAGCTCTCCTCTCTATCCAGGATCAAAGGACACCCAGAAGAAAACTTGGGGAGGTAGGAGAGTAAGGACCAGAAAGATACAGGAGGGGTGGCATCTTCTTCAGCTTCAGCAGTGGGCCATGAAGAGGGCTAATTTGAGGAGCAGGATGGTGGTGGGGAGCCCTGGCCTGAGGGCTGATGCAGAGCTGCCCCTTTTCTTGGGCCGTGGCCCATTGCAAAGAGGGGTGTTGCAGCAGCTGATGCACACTGAGTTCAGTTTCCCTGGGGAGCAGAAGGACTGGTAGCCAGCGGAGGCGATGAGACAGGCCGCTGAGGAAGCACATGACTTGCGGTACATGATTCCTGCAACACAGAGCCAAAGGAGCCAGGTTAATGTTCGCTCACTGAAGGTCAGATGTCTCTCTCTGAACTCACATGGAAAGAACAGCTCTTTCTCACTCCTCCCACAGCCCAGAGGCTGGAAAGTAAGATTAAGGGGATGTTTCACTGAATTTCCAAATACACATATCCATGCTGAAAAAGGCAGATACCGTTTTGGACAAAATTGTTCCAAAAGCTATTCAAATTCCCATACCAATGAATAAACAGTTATTAAAGTTAAAATCTGCTTCTTCAAGCTCAGTGTTCACATTTTGTACCAGACAAAGAGATTTTTATTTACCTTTGCTTTGTTGTTATTGTTCAAAGTATCTCACACCAGGAGAACTATGTCTGAATCTTATTTCTTATTAGGTGCGTATTAGTTTATAAATGAATATACTATGTGTTACATTAACTTTGTGTTTATTAAAACCCATAATTCTTTGACTAAGAGCTAACTACCTAAAGGGAATCAATTCAATCCCTATGGTATGAGCCACGATTTCTTCTTTGTGTGAGGAGGTCTATTGGATATAGTGAGCAGTTGGCATGGCCAACAGTATGTATAGCACAACCTTCTTCTAAGGGAAACAACTTTGACCTTAGGATAAATGGCAATTTTTCCAAATTGGCCTCAAAGAGCTGATATTCTGAGAAAACTAGAGGCCCATGTCAAGAAACATATGAGTCCTGACCAAACTGTAGTGTAGTCATCAAATGAGGGTATCTTCCAAAATTCCCCTCCTCCTCCTCCTCCTCCTCCTCCTCCTCCTTCTTTTTTCTGGTCCTGGGGCTTGAACTCAGAGCCCGGGATCTGTCCTTGAGCTTCTCTGTGCTCAAGGCTAGTAATCTACTACTTGAGCCACAGCTCCACTTCTGGTTTTATTTTTTAATGAGTAGTTTATTAGAGATAAGAGTCTCAAGGACTTTCCTGACTGGGCTGGCTCTGGACCATGATCCTCAGATTTCAGCCTTCTAAGTAGCTAGGACTATAGGTATGATCCAGTGGCATTTGGTTCTTCTTCTTTCTTAATGGTAGTGGTACTGGGATTGAACTCAGGTAAACACTACCTCTTGAGCAATGCCTCCAGCCCCTTTGTTTCTTTTAGGGTGTCCTTTAGATAAGATCTAGTGCTTTGGTCTGGGCTGGCCTTGAACCTTGATCTTCCTATCACTGCCTCTCCTGTAGTGGCTGGGACTGTAAGTATGTATCACTATGTCCAGCCCTCTCATTTGACTTTATCTGAGAGTGTACCAAAATTTGAGTTGCTAAGTTTATATAAGGGCTCTTCTGAATGTCAGATGCTATCTAGATGGCTACAGTATAATAGCTCACTACCATGTGATTGCTGGTGTCTAGAATGTACTCTAAAAGCCCATGTTAGGGCTTTTAGGCTTGCTACTCAAAATGGCACTATTGGGAGGTGGCAGAAATTGAAGAGATGGGGTTGATCAGTGTGATCACTTGGGGGGAGGGAAAGGAATAATGATGCTCCAGATTCTTACTCTCTCTTTTGCTTGTGGCTATCAGTGAGGATTCTTTTTTTTTTGGGGGGGGGTCCGGTCATGGGGCCTGAACTCTGGGCCTGGGCGCTGTCCCTCAGCTCTTCAGCTCAAGGCTAGCACTCTACCACTTGAGCCACAGCGCCACCTCCAGCTTTTTTCTTTTTGCTTATGTGGTGCTGAGGAATCGAACCCAGGACCTCAGGCATGCATTGCAAGCGCTCTACCACTGAGCCACCTTCCCAGCCCCGAGGATTCTTTACATGCTCCCTTACTACCAGCTCATATCTTTGGACTGAGTCCTCCAAAACTGTTAATGTGCATAAACCCTTTCACAACACAAGCTAATTATCTCACATACTTTATGACAGTAATGGAAAAACTAACACACATTTCTACGAGGGCAGTCCCCATAACCATTCACATTACACAGATCAGGAGCCTGAGGTCCATTCACTGGGAATTTAGTGATTGGCTGAGATCACATGAGAAGAAAGTGGAGTAGCTGTGGTTTGAGCTGAACATTCTGTTCTTGGCTGTCACCTGTAATACTGGATAGCACAGTGGACAGCCAATTAACTATAGTAGAAATTGAGATGGCTGGCTTTACTCCAAAGAGTGTGTATAGCTATTGGATATCAATGAATTTTCTTTTGGACAGATAATGTTGAATAATGGTACTGGTCTTTGAGGTGAATGTCAGCCTATTTGCACAGCTGAGTGATGTGACACATCCCACTAGCAGCCAAAGACCTTATCTAGTGCTTCCTTGTAGATATGTAGGCGGGTATGGCTTAGCTTTGGGCTCCCTCATCTATAAGAATTGCTAGTTGGGGTGTGTGGACACAGAAAAGAATCAAACTGTCTAAAACTTACAAGTGGGAGGTAAAAAGAGTGCTTTAGATTTGGTTTAAAACATGCAATTTTATGTCATTCCTTTTCTGTAACTGCATATTTGTAATGATTGATTTTTCTAGTACTGATAGAAAATCCTGGAAGGCAGATGCTCCTATGGTGTAAGCCCATATATAGAGGATGTGTGTGGATGCATGCAAAGTATTGTTTGATTCTCAGGTATATGCTTCAGGGATTTTCTACTTTTTTCTTTTCATTCTCCCTTTGAGGAAATTTACTCTTTTTTTATTCTTAAATTTTAAGAAAATTCTCATTTTCCAATTTGGCTATAATGACTTTTTTCCTTTAAGTGACTTTTAAAAATGCAAAAACTGTTTACTCGGTATGTGTCAAAAATATTCAGATAGTCAGATACAGAGAAAATGTTCCTCAACCACCTCTGCACCTTTGAGGCATACTGCTGTTCTCTGTTTGGTGTGCCTCCTTCCCAGGAAAAATAACACATCTGTTCGTGATATCACACCTTATCAGCTATTCCTCAATTGTCACTTTTACTTAGGGACGTGACTTGGAGGTTTATTTTGGAGCATCACTTTGCAGGCAAATGAATCAGCAACAAGGTAAGTGCATGGGGTCTGAAGAGATGGACCAAGAAACAAAATCTGCACATTTGATAGGATCTTATCAAATTTTTAACTGGAAACAATTTGCTTCATAAAGGAAGCTGGGGTAGCGTAAACTATGCTGTGAGGTTAGCTCTCAAGTTAGTATCTCATGAACTAATACTACATACTCCTCTCAAAGCAATCCTCAATATTCCCCAAGGGCTATACTGTTACACAGATGTGTCCACTGTGCTGGTCACTTCAGACCAGGAACCATGAGGACGTGAAGGGAGTGTCAAGATGTCATTTGTGCTAGGTCCATGAGACTCAGGACTCCTGGGGACCCCCATGAGCCTCCTGCAATGGAAATCCAAGCCTGGAGACTGGGGTTCCAGGGACTATGAGTGGAATGGGATGTGACTAAAGTGGTTTGGAACTGGATAAGAGACTCGCATGCAGATGCGATTGTACTGGGTTTGGAGATGTTCATGAATAACAATGGAAACGTGATAATGTGCAAGTGTCTATTGACAATGGTAGAGAAAGCAAGCAAGAAGTGTGCTAAGGGGAATTAAAAAGGGATTTGAGAAAGTAGAAGGTTATTTTACTCGTCCTTTTCATTCCTGGTGGGGATAAGGTGGTGCCTTTGAAAGATGTAAGTGGAGTGGGGCTGGGAAGGTGGCTCAGTGGTAGAGCGCTAGCCTTGCATGCATCAGGCCCTGGGTTCGATTCCCTAGCACCACATAAGAGAAAAAGCCAGAAGAGGCGCTGTGGCTCAAGTGGTAGTGTGCTAGCCTTGAGCTGAAGAGCTGAGGGACAGCCCCCAGGCCCAGAGTTCAGGCCTCACGACCGGACACCAAAAAAAAAAAAAAACAAAAACAATGAAAGATGTAAGTGGACTGGGGAAGCAGAAAAAGGATGATTACGTGAAATCTACAAAGATAAAGAAACAGCCAGATGAGCAACAAAGGCTCATGGCAATCATTCTAACTACTCAGGAGACTGAGATATGAGAATCATGATTCAAAGCCAGCCCAGGTAGGAAAGTCCATGAGACTCTTATCCCCAATGAACCACCAAAAAGACAGAAATGGTGCTGTGGTTCAAATGGTAGAGTGCTAGTCTTGAGCACCAAAGCTCAGGGACAGCACCCTGAGTTCAAGCCCCAGTACTGGCCTGCGCATACGTGCACACACACACACACACACACACACACACACACACACACACACACTCACTCACTCACTCACTATAAAGAAATGAACTACATCTCCCAAGACCTCACATAGAGAAGGAAGAGCATCTTCAGCTGCAGCTAGGGGTAATAAGGAGGCCCAGGGACAGATAGGAGTGGTCTTGGGGAATATTAACAGTGCCAATGTGGAGAACAAGTACAGAGCTGGACAAGAATACAACTGTCACTAAGTGGAGAAGGTGGGTGTTTGAACCTATTTCATCATTCATATTCTTTTAAAGATGAGTTCCTTATGGAGTTAAGCTAGCTTTAAATGTTGAACAAAAACATGGAAGTATTCATAGACATTTTGGAATCTTGGGGAATTTATTTTATCATATAAGAGTAGAGGAGGTGATAGGCTATTCTATGATACAATTCCCAAAAGGCATTACAGAATGATTGATAAATTTAGATTGCAAACAAATAAAATGTTTGGTATTTCTAATAAATTGTTTGTCATGAAGGGAAGAGCAAAATATTCAGGAAGATAACTAACTTCAAATCACAATGAGAAAATTTCCTTGTTTCTGAGGAGTAACCCATCGGAAAAATGGAGAAAGCAAGTGGACATCTCACAGAGAAATAAATGGGAAGATCTTTGAACACATGAAAAATTACCTACCTCTCTGATCCTAAAGTCAAGGGCAAGTTAAAACTACACTGAGATATGATTCTTAGTTATCTCTTGGGAAAAGATCAAAAGGCTTATTAGCATCATGCCTGTAGTTCTGGAGACAGGCCCTTTCCTGCACTATTGGTTAAGAAGGTAGACAGGCAAACAT